ATATAAAAGAATCGTTAGAAACTCTAGGCCTGTTATCTAACAGAAATCTAAAAGAGATTAAAATGGGACACATTTATTTTCATTCTAAAAACAACATACTCATTTAATTTTCTTAATTAATGTATTATATTTTTCTTATTTAAAATTAATAAATATAAATAATTAAATTAATTAATAAATATGTCAAAATTATTACAATTCAAAATATTGTAACAATATAATAATTTATGCAATTATTGACAATTGTTTGTTTAGACATTGCAAAAGGCCAAAATTATATAAAAAAAAATTATAAGAATGTAACTTATTTTTCACTAATAAACAATTGCACATACATACACACATAGCAGTAATTCGTTGACTTAAGAGAATAATTGTATTAATATTATGTAAAAATACGACCTTTATATATATATATACATGCAGGATGATAATAGCAATCAATATGTTTTCAAATGAAATAGAACATCTTTTTATCTAACAATATCTTTTATTACTTTCTTCACATAATAGAGTAATATTAAATATGTAAATCTTCATTCTATTGCATGTCACAGTCGAATGTTTTACTTCAATACATTAAAAGAAAGTGAATACAATTCAAGATAATAAATTCTTTTTAAGGGCAGGGATAATATTCTTCCTCTTCCATCAAGAAGAAACTTGAATTAATAAATAAATCGTCGCGGTCACTATATTTGTTTCAAGAAAAACATTTAAAAAATAAATAAGATACCTTTGGCGATGAAACGTGTCGAAAAAAGTATATAATAGCCGTAATATAACTCCAATTAAAGTGGCGATACTTCTCTCGAACTTTCACCACGATGCATAAGACAATGTAAGATGATAATATCACATTAGACAAATTCATATTATTTTTATAATTCAAGCTCTTTTTCAATAATCCTGCGGTATTCGTCAAAACCTTCTTCGATACAGCGAACTGATCCTTCTCCGCAAACCCACAATTCTGTACAAACCATTCGAATTAAACGTTCATCATGCGACACCAATATTACACCGGCCTGTAACGATAAAACATCGATTGAATCATGTACATATTTGGATCATAGCAGTCGTTATAAAAAAAACACTTAGTAAACACTTACTTGGCAGTTGTTGAGAGCTTTACCCAGAGCTTCGATCGATTCAATATCGAGATGATTCGTTGGTTCGTCAAGCACTAGGAAATTAGGTAATGCGGCACACATCAAGGCAAACGCTACTCTAGACTTCTGTCCTCCCGAGAGAGAATTAATAGTTTGCAAAGCTAGATTACCACTTATACCAAAACTTCCAAGCATTCGTCTGTACTCTTCGATTGGTTTGCCTGCCAGAACGAATGATAATTATTGACAGTTCTTTAAATGAATCATATATATTCGATACATACCAGGAAAATGCGATTGTAACAACTCGACAGGGCAGACACGCATATCCAGCTGATCAATGTGATGCTGACTGAAGTAGCCAAACTTCAAATTACGATGTACATGCACTGTACCTCGCGTCGGGCTTAATGCTCCCGTGATGATTTTCAAAAGAGTAGTTTTGCCCGCGCCATTCTCACCGACGATGCAGATGCGCGATTGCAAACTGGCAGTAAGATTCACATTGCTAAATACCATATCGGTTCCGTTGTAACTGTAGGAGACTTCGTTAAGCTGCAAGATTGGCGGACTTAGTGGTTCGACATCGGGAAAATTAAGAGTTACTTCGCTCTCCTTTTCCATTGGTTTTAAATCAGGTCTGTCGAATAACAAACATAAAAACATAAATTACGAAGTAGACGGATGCATTCTTGCTTGTGCGATCAAATTTTGTTAGACTTACAATTTCTCTAACATTTTTATCTTGCTTTGTACACTGGACGCACGATTCGCATTGTATCGGAATTTATCGATAAATTCCTGTACATGTGCTCTTTTAGCCTGTTGAGCCTCATATTCTCGTTGTTGGTTCCTCTCGCGTTCGCCTTTCGTTTTCACAAATTGCTCATAATTACCACGGTACGCTTCTATTTTTTGACCACGCAAGTACAAAATATCAGTTGGCACCTGTTGAAGAAATAAAGATAAATAATGATAAAGATACTAAGAAAATATATCAATTGAAATACAATTAATATCAGAATATTATTAACATTATTAATCTTTCTTTTAGATAAATATGAACTTACCGTGTCTAAGAATTTTCGGTCGTGCGACACGACGAGTAATGTTTTTGGCCACGTTTGCAAATATTTCTCCAACCAAAGTATCGCTTTAATATCAAGCATGTTCGTCGGCTCATCAAGCAATAACAAATCTGGTTTAGAGAACAGCGCCCTTGCAAGGGCGAGCCTCATTCGCCAACCACCGGAAAACGCTTTGGTCGGCCATGATTGCCTCTCAACGGAGAATCCGAGACCTGACAAGATCGCGCTTGCTCTGGCAGGCGCCTTGTCAACTTCAGCTAATTGCATCGCCTCATATACCCGAGCTAGTTCCTCGCCTAACGCATCCTTGGAGCCATCCTTCTCTATTGCCACTTGTAACTTTGCCTCTTGACTGAGCAATTCACTACGTTCCTGATCACATTCTAAAACTGATTCAAGGGCGGACGTATCGTCGCCGGCTACCTCTTGTTCGACATGCAATACTCGCACGTGCGATGGTATTCTCAGCTGCTTGCTGAAAGTAATCAGGATCTTCTTGTATTAGTCAGAGATGTTCGAACGATTAATGATATATATGTATATAATCGCAATACCTCGATATCATTCGAAGTAAGGTGGTTTTACCAAGTCCATTTCTGCCTATCAAACCGTATCGTCTGCCGAATGCAAGTGTCAAGTCAGCATTGTGCAACAATACTCTATCGCCATAAGCGACATCAAAGTTTTCTATCCTGATATCCTGAGTTTTGTTCACCCCACCTTTTGTTTCCATCCGACTATCCTTTTTGCTTGTCATTTGACTAGCGCTTGCCGCACTTTCAACTGCGTGATTGGTAGTGTTAATACGAGAGGCCGATCCTTGTTCATTTACTATTCGTTTTTCCTGTTTCTGTTGTAATTTGGCCTCGGCTTTTTCTAATTTCTTGGCATCTACTTTCTGTTGCAATAATGAGCAATATTAACATATAAATGATGTCTACAAACAAGGTAACTAAATATGAATATTAATAATATGCAAAGATAGAATTTAATAAAAATTAATATATAAACAAAATCTATACATGTACACATGCATACATAGACAAAAGTAATATTATATAATTGTTTATTATTTAAAATCAGTGCACTATGTCATTACATTACCATCACATCATCTCTGGTTGTGACCCATATACTTTTAATCTGCTCAACTTGTGCCTCCAAGGTAGCAGCCAATGCACCAAGATGCACCGGAGCATTTAATACTTTGTTAACGCCATTTCTTCTCCTATCAATTTCTTCATCATTCGAACTACCTTTCAATATTTCCAACAGTCTTACGCATATTTGTCTGCAGAAAACAAAGTACAATGAGTCAATCTGTTATTCAGGAATAAAGAATCAACAAGTGTTATAGTTGTGCATAAAGAAAAGGGAAGGAGAAAGCACGAAGAGAGCAGAAATGTCTCGTCTTCGGTGAATTAATTAAAAAATGACAAATGTGAACATATTTACAGACCTAACCTCGTTTTCTGATTTGTCCGCCACCTCGTGCAGCACTTGGCCGATCGCTTCGTACACCTCGTCGCCATCCTCAAAGTCATCCTTGGAGCTATCCAGGATACCTATATGCGAAAGGACATATACGTCAAAGTAGGATCGCATAGGTTATTCCGCAGCACGAGGACATACCTTGCACATACTGATAGAGATCCTCGTCTATCGTCGGGAACTGGCTGCGGATATACTCGCCACAGGTCGCCATAATACTCGCTACTAGATTATTAGGGGGATGAACGTTAAAAAAAAGGGAGGAAGACCCTGGATCGTGAGAGTCACGCCAAGGGGGTGCGGGAGTCCGCTGCTTGACAGACACGACGGCCGTCACGTCTCCGTCGAGCTGCGCGAGCACATGTTCGCCGCCATATTGGAAGTCGGTGACCTACTCAGTGATTCAAGAGTGGATCGACACGTCGGTGGAGAGAAACGCACTCCCGGATAAATCTCCTGCGACACTCGCCACGCACGAGGATCGCAATTTCTTCGGGTCATCGCGTGTTGCGTGAATACCTTCGTGCGAATTTTCTTTATCTTAAAGCTTTTCGCATTGAATGATCGCGGTGGTGGTCGCCATTTTGTAGCTGTCAAACGTGAGCCTCCTGCTGATGATGCGTGAGCCCTCGAATCCGTCATTCGGGCACTCTAACATTCTGCATTCGACGCGCGTATTCTCGGACATCCGCGATCGCCGTTCTGCACGTCGGTCGCGGGTGGAATTTGCAGTCTTTTAGATTAATCTCGGAAACATCATCGTCGTCCGTAACGTGCGATTCCGCGCGCCCCACCAGATCCTTCTCATTGTAAATAATCATCGAATTGTCAGGAGGGCTGTCCTCCATCGACGATGGCATTTCGACGATGTATCTCCGTTGAGGACGCGTGAAAAGGTGGAGAAGGATAAGAAGAAGGGGGAGGAGGAGTCGACGGGACGCGGACGTTCCTCGCCAGGTAGAGACACGCTGGCGGAGACTCGCAAGAACGACGGAAGTATCGTCGTGACTGACGTCGTGGAGTCGAATGTCGAAAGATTGTGCGTGGACATGGATGAACACGAGATACTTCTCCTTCCGCCTTTCTCGGGTGCGAATAACAAGGAACGCGCCAGGAAGAAACTCTGGCGTAGCGCGGTAGAGATAGTCGCAAGCGATGACGAAGATTCGGACGCGAACGAGCACGAGTGTGCTTTCTTTCCAGCTAAGCGACACTGCGCGCAGTTGTCCAAGGTCAATGAAACTCGTTCGGATGCGGTAATTGATCCCATTGTAATGCTGCTTTCATCAGTGTCCTATCTCGTTAATTGATAATCCCATGCAAGAGCGTAATTTCTATATTTTCAAATTCTATATTTTAATTTTTATTGTATAGAAAATAATATCCTCTTTTTTTCTCTTTCTATCTCTCTCTCCTTTTATTAATATTACATTATAGAAGAGATAATTATAAATATAAAATATAATTATGAAAATATAATTATGAGTATATAAGAAATGATTATTGCTTCAGGAACAGCACACAAGTGGAAATGCAGAAACATCGGCCAGTACTGTAGGAAATGTTGATTATGATGAAATTATATATCGAATACAAATTGAGGAAAAACTGAAATTGTGGCAGGCTTTCCAAGAGGAGGAAGGGTCCATGGACAATAACATCAATGAAATTTTGGCTTACTATAGGATGATGCATCCACCTGATTCTTTGGAAGAGGAGTCTGTTGGTTCCAGACTCCATTTGTCATATAGAGGCAGTGATATGGAGGATACAGCAGTAACAATGGCGATTCGTAATCACGGCTTAGTCCAATCGGCCGAGCTCGCCCTTCAGCCTCATTATTGTAAATGTATAGGTGTCGATTGTTCCTTTTCGTCCAAATGTATGTACGAACTAGAGGACTTTCCTTATGGAGCGGTTTATAGCAATGTAGAAACAGGAAGATGCAATTCGCTGGATGCAGATAAGGTATATGAGTGCGATCAGCCAGAAGATTTCTTGGAGCGCGCTGTAGGAGAAGCGATCAAGAAGAAAGGTCTGAGTGCTCTGAGTGTAGATTATGGTTGAATAAGTTGATTAACGTCCGCTCTAATTTCCTCGATGTATTTATATAAAGTAGCATAATACGCGCGTTCACACACACATACATACATACATACATACATACAACACATCTACATCTATCTGTAATTGTTGTGCTCTATTGTGTAAACCTAATCGTGACTTCGTTTTATAGTTAATTTTTGTCATATGACCGTCACAATGTGTTCTCTACGAGCGATAATCTCGGAAAATTTATACTCAAATACATATACATATATATACATATGCGCACGCGCGCGCGCGCACACACACACACACACACACACATTCCGATTGTACTCGCTTATTTGAGATGACTTAGGATTGATTTTATTCAGTGATGTGAAGTGATGTTGAATTATTATAGTTTTCCGTTCATTAATCTGTTTAATAGCCAGCCATATAGTCAGGATTGGGAAAGTTACTTTTTAAAAGTAACTGGTTACCATTATCAAATAAAAAAAAACTAATTATCGTTACTAATTATTGATTCTGAAAAGTAACTCGTTATTGTTATCGTTACTTTTTCTGTTATTTTTTAATATTAAAAACGAGATCAGATTAGATAAAAAATTAATTTTTTTCATTATTTTTTAGTAAAAAATAAATATAAAATACAAATACATAAAACAATAAAAACAA